CCAAAGCCAAATTATTCTCTCTCGCGCCAGCTCTCGCTCGATTATGGATTCTAGCGTATTAAGCGTACTTTATCGCGCACGTTAAGCGATTTCGTTCGCGTAATCCCGCGAATTCTGGTCGCGGAAAGGCTGAGCGAGTGCGCTCGCCATCGAGAAATGAATTTGTAGCTATTATTTGTGAAAGAGCGTCAAATTAATTAAAGTGTGCGATTATTTGAATCATCCTCCCCAACCAGATCAAACGTCGCGAAAGTCAGCCACGGCTTTCTTTACCGCGGTAGCATCCAATAAAAATTAGCAGAGCTCAACCCAAGGCGCACGGTGGCTGACCCCTCTCGCATCCTTTAGCGGTGATGTAAAAAAATTAGTTTCAAATTAACAAGATATTATGTAATCAATGTACACAATGCTTTTTAATAAAAAGAAATAAAATACAAACATTGTTGGAATTCGATAGAAACTACCTATAATCATACTATAAAACTCTCTTTCATTTACTAAAAATCATTTAAAAACAAAATTTATAATGTAATGTCAATTGCTTTTTTGTATTAAATTATATTAATAAATGGAAGTTAAATTCAAAAACGACTGTTTTTATTATAGTTACAATATCCTCTTCATCAGCTATTTTTTAAATATACGAGTATTTAGTTTTCTTAAGTTAAACAGCATCCACACTGCGTGTGCGCATACTTTCTCTAATATATATAGCCTGTTGAAGGAAAAAGAGAAAGAAACAGAGACGGATAGACAAAGAGAGAAAAGCATCCACGCTATAAAGTGAACGCGCCTAGCCCCCATATAACTTACCACGCTAAAGACGATACTTCCTATCCGAGGGCCACACCTAGCCAGTATATAGTTTACCAAGCGTCCTTCCAACTTCTACACCGTCCTACCTTTACAGCTTCTATACAGGGTGGACCATTTTAATCGAAGCACCCAGAAATCTTTTTCCAGGTAAGGATGCGTGAAACATGTTTCAGACAAAAGTTGCTGGACTCCGAGGGGGACATAATCCGGTGACCTTGACTCTGACCTTGAGGGTCATTTTCAAGGTCATCCGAAGGTTAAGTTTGATTTTTTTAATAGAAAACCCCATTTTTGACCTTGGATTCAGATAGAGCGGGAAATTCTACGTTCAGATGACCTATTATACGTGGGGTTTGGGTGACCACCAAGGTCGCCCCCAACATCACTTAAAGTTAAATGTTATTTTTTTCTTAATCTTTCCACCTAACTAACCTAAGATCGGTATAGTTTAGAGAAAAATTATGTAGACAAAAGTTATTGCATTTTGAGAGGGGCATCTTGTGGTGACCTTAACTGCGACCTTGAGGGTCATTGTCAAGGTCATTTGAAGGTCAAATTTGTTTCTACTTTTCTATTAGTAGTAACAGTAGTAGCAATTTCTACAATACTTGTTTTGGGAGTGTCTTGGATAGGGTAAATAAATAACACCAAAGTGTACAGTACACAAATTGATCTTATTTATCATGAAAAAATTATCATATTTATTATCTTTTTTATTAATAATTAATCAGGAATCACAAAGCATTGCGAAGAAATCTTAATAATTACAAAAAATGTCGTTTCAAAATAATGTTACTCAAATTAGAATTACGAACGGGTTTATGAAAAAGCTTATAACAAAAAAACCCTTACAGGAAGGGTCACCTAAATACTACATGTGTTATGTTTGAAGAACGTCGAATTCTTTGTTGTTTTCGAAACTGTGATAAAAAAGTAGGCTATTCCGGGAAACAAAAAGTTGACCTTCGGATGACCTTGAAAATGACCCTCAAGGTCAGAGTCAAGGTCACCCGATTATGTCCCCCTCGGAGTCCAGCAACTTTTATCTGAAACATGTTTCACGCATCCTTACCTGGAAAAAGATTTCTGGGTACTTCGATTAAAATGGTCCACCCTGTAGAAGGAATCTATCTTGATAGTCTGTATAATAAAATTAATAATTTTATTACATAATATTTATTTACTAAAAGGGGACGGGGCTCTGGGGTGTCGCGACTAGGTAAATGAACGAATCCGGAGGGGTCACCCACACGCGCGCATACTAAGCCCCTATATACGAGTGTGGTCCGATAAGTACTTAGCCTACAAAAGAAAAACGAAAATTTTGGAAAAGTGGCGTTTTATTTTTTAACATAGTCTCCTTTTAGTTCGATACACTTGGCACAGCGATGCTCCAACTTCTTTAACCCGTCTGAAAAATACATTTCCTCGAGGTCTGAAAAGTAGGCATTCGTGGCAGCGATTACTTCCTCATTCGACTCAAATTTCTGCCCGGCGAGTGACTTTTTCAAGTTCGGAAACAAAAAGAAGTCGCACGGGGCTAAATCTGGAGAATACGGTGGATGGGGCAGCAGTTCCTTGCCTAATTCGACCGGCGGTTGCAATCACGACGCTCTCAGGAAGCTCGATTATGGTCCGCTTAGCAAAAACACAGATGATGCACATAGTGCACCATATGGACAGCCGCGAGTCTGGCCAGGTCACTTTGTGCCAAAATCTTCTGTCAAAGCGGCGGACAGTAATTGTATTCCTCAACAGAGAACGGAGACTTCTCAAACAAACAATTCGTTGTTTTGGGAGAGGACATCGTAAATTTCTCTTTCCTCTACGGGCATATGCAAATGCAAATGCTGAAGTACGAAATGCGTCACCGATTGCCCTCGACAAGCAACTAATGCTAGTCGACCCGAAGTGAATGCAATGTGTATTTGAACGAAAACTTGCAATCACAAGTGCGGATGTGTATACCTTCACGTGGTGGGGCTGAAAACGCTGTCTCTGTAAAGAAACAGTAGGCAAAACACACAACGCTTGTCCCTATTTGAGCATCGATCTTCGGAATTAAACTCCGAAGTTCGATGTTTTGAACGCGAATTAGAATACCCAATTTAACCTAATGTCAGAAATTGATTCGAATGAGTGGCATGACTCGTACGAATATAGAAAACTGCCTGGGAAGTCGCCTTGTCGGCTAGGCGAGACCCCGCCCCTGACCCAAGTCAGAAGATATTAATCGAAAGAGCAGAGATTAATATCAGTGAGTCATAAAAGCCTTCCATAGAAAGCGAAATCCAAGACTCAGGCGAAAATCAGGATACAACTTTCCTTTCGAATAACGGATATCCACCAGCGTGAGCGGGGATGACCAAAACGCAATGGGGAGACGCGCCATGGCACGTCGAAACGATGGACCTGTGATTCGTGGGAGCAATCCCTTAATACAGGTACGCGGGGTGGGATGTTTTGAACGAGAGCTCAGGAGGGGAGGCTTAGCTGGTTGATCGTCTTAGGAATTTCCTCTGGCTGTGCTAGCTGAGTCTCTCTTCTGACATCCCAATTTCGGTTGGCCTCTACGGGGTAGTGGTACCAGGTCAAGCAAATCTCGTAAGATTTGTATGCCGCGTGCTTCCGACGCGGTAGACATTGGGGCAACTAGAGTCCCGTCGCGCCCAAACCGAGGGTCAAGCCTTTAGTTCCGCTCTCCTTGAGCGTTGAACCGTAAAAAAATCGGTACTCCTTTCGAGGAGGTCGCCGCCTTAGATCAAAAAGGTTCCGACTCGCTGTGTGCGTCAGAGATGTCGTAGCAAACTTGACTTCCGGATCTCCAAGGTGTTTGAAAGCGAAGGAGTGAAAGACAGTGGGCTATGCCAACCTATTGGCGCCCAGAGAGAAGGGTGGTAATGTTTGATTACGCTGCGCCACCCTCAAAGCGGAAAAGTATGAACAACACACATATACTAACTGCCTAATTCGACCAATTTGGCCATGGCGACGGCGGAGGTGTGTGCCGGTGCGTTGTCATGGTGGAAGAGCACTTTTTTCTACGCCAAATAAGGCCGTTTTTTCTGCAATTCGACGTCGAATCGGCCCAATAATTCGGCATAGTACAGCCCTGTGACCGTTTTGCTCCTCTCCAGGTAGTCGATGTAAATCACACCTTGTGAGTCCCAGAAAACGGTGGCCATCAACTTTCCGGCCTATGGGGCAGTCTTCGCCTTCTTCGGAGCACTTTTGCCGGGTAAAGTCCACTGTTTCGACTGTTTCTTGGTCTCTGGTGTATACCAGTGGATCCATGTTTCGTTGACTGTCACGAAACGACTCTGAAACTCCTTCTGATTGCGCTTAAACAGCGTCAGACATTGCTCTGAAGTTGTCTCACGGTTGCACTTGTGGTCCGGAGTGAGCAAACGCGGCACCCATCGCGCCAATAGCTTTCTTATGCCCAAAATTTCATGCAGGACATGACCCACGCAGACTTTTGAGATGCCTACGATCTTAGCTATCTCGCGCACCTTCAATCGTCGATCTGCCAATACGAGATTGTGAATTTTTGTCACGTTATCCTAGTGGTAGCCGTTTTCGGAGCACATGGACGTGGCTCTTCATAAATCGACATGCGACCACGTTGAAACTCGTTAAACCAAGCGCTTTTTGATTTCGCTGCGCGATTTCCCTTCCAAAAACAAGAATCGAATGACCGACCGATCTGCTCTTTTTCCATTTTTCAAAAATCAACGGACACACTTGCTTTCACACGCTCTCAAAAATAAACTACAACTCCGATCCGGCTGAAATCTTGACAGTAAACGTCGAGAAGGTTGTACTACGTGATAGAATTTTTGTTTTGCGAGAGTGGCGCCATCGGGTGGTGAGGCTAAGTACTTATCGGACCACCCTCGTATATCCATCAATCCTTTCGATATTAAAAGGTTCTCGAAGATTCACCACTTCCTTTTATCTGCTTCTTTTTATATACTCGTATTATTATTATATGCATAATTAGATATATAAAATATATAAATATATTTTATATATTTATATATTTTATATTTATATATTTTATATATCTAGTATAGATATGTAAAATATATTTATACATTTATCTCATTAATGCTACAGAATTTATTAACTATATTGTTTCATTACATAATATTGGAAATACATATGTATTATCTTAAATTTAGGCGAAACTGGACCACTACATTATGGAGTCTGTTCAAATTATTTGAAAGATGTTTCGCAAAAAGAGTTAATATACATTTTTTTCCGCAGGTACGTATGTCTTTTTTCTTAGCTCACTGGGACGTCCGAAATAGTTATTAATATTTTATAGCACTTCCTAACCTAAATATGCACCTTACGCATACAATTTCCAGCATAAGATAATTTTTTCTAAAGTTTTTTAATAAGTTGTAGAGCCTTATCTAATGATATTAAATTATTAAATACACTGCTTATTTTATACATAAAATTACATTTAAAATTCAATTAGCCCTGATTAGATATCGCAATATGTATCAACAATTTATAAATTTATTAGAAGAATATATATTTATTGTAGGTTAGATTTAAATAAGTTTAGAGCTGTACACAAAAGATTTGACTTATCATATATTTATATTTGTTATTTCATTTGTAACACGACAAAGTTACATACATCGCGAGCGCCGAAAGCTAACGCAAGTGTGAGGACACACACACACACGATGATACGGCACGACGAAAGAGAGAGAGAGACAGTACAGCGAGTAGCCGACAATCACCGAAGATTACCGAAACACGATAGCGAAGACCTCCCGCGAACGCGCGAACGGACATCGCGGCTTTTCGTCTCGCTACGCTCGACGCGGTCACATCGATATCCGAGTATCGCGCTCGAGGCGACGACGTCTCACCACCTCCGTGATCCGACCAGCAGGCCTGCAGCCGCGTAGCAACGGAGCCCTTCGTCGACCAGCCGACGGCGCGAAGTAAAACCGTCTGATCCACGTGCGAGGACGATCCGGAGGATAGCCTCCCGTCAACGAAGCTCGCAAGCTCGTAAACACGGTACGACTTATTCTCTCTCTCTCACGCGGTATCAATTGTATTGCGGCGCAGAGTTTCGGCGGAAACTCTTGATTGCACCTTTGCGAGAAGGTCGCACGTTATATAAGGGTAGTCGCTGACACAATAAATCTGCCAACGTCTTACTATAACGTAGCTCTTTATTTGCGTTGCATACCCTTCACCTCTAATTCAATCGACGGGTTAAACCCCGACCGCCTCCGCGGGTCAGTCGACACCTGGTCGATTGACGATTATGCTGACCTAGTCGGAGCATACCCGTCTATTATCGGTGGATCCTACGGGTGGATTCAAGGGCAAGTCCCACCACCGTTTTAGTGGCGCCCAACAGTGGTTTGGTTTACTTCAAGTATTTTTTTTTCCCATTTTTTCTTTCACATCAATAAATTATTTCGACAGTAAAATCACACCTTCAAAAAAGAGAGCATTCCTTTATCACGCGCCTTTCAAGTGTACTTGAAGAAATAAAACCGACGCGAGCATCACGTTGGTGCGTCGTTCACGTGTACAGTCGAGCAATATACTGGAGTTAATCCGAAAAACAAAACAAACAGTTACGTAACCTAATTTACATATTATCCACACGGCAAGAGAGATCACTCTCCCCCTCGACAACACTCGAACGACGCGCGAGCTGACGCTCGCATATAATATATACAGAGAGCGAAGAGACTGTTGATACAGTCGAAACGGTAGAAATTTTTGTTCTTTCTCAGGATGATTGAAAGGCCGAGAAATAAATAGAAGTAACATATATTTGCTCGAGCATTGCTATTAGAGGAGAAGGGTTCGCAGATATAGCGAAATTATTTTTTTTTCACATTCAGCATAGCAATTTTACTGAGAAAGTAACGAAGAATTCTATTGTGAGATTCGCTCAACAACCATTTGAAAATAGATAAAGAAAGCGCGCGAAGAATATGCAAAAGCTGTTATCGATATAGATCGATAGATTTTTTTTTCCTCCCTTGATAAAAGTTTTTTTTCTTTTTGTTTGTTTTGATACCGAATATTTTTATTATTTACCGCAACGATAAATTATCGTTGTTAGCGGCAGAGAAATGCATGTTTTTTTCTCTTTAATTAATACATATTTATATAACGACATTGAATAATTACTTTTGATACTCATTATTTCTGTTGTGGTATTTACCGTTGTCTCATTAAGCAACGAAGAAAGAGTATGCATACGGTATTACAGTTACATACACACCACACCCAACACAAACTTTATACACACAATAAAAGCAACACATTGGTTCATGACCAAATACTGGGCCAAAGCTAAGGCTGAAGCCTTCGCAGACAATCAATCCGGGCAAGCCTTGAACGTAGCATTACTCGGATTGGGATTATTACAAACCGGCTCGGTTACAGAAAAAAGAAAGCGACTCACGGACCGATTACAAGGCAAATACGAAGCCGCGCAATTTGAGGTGGGAGCGGCTGACGAACAATCGCGCGGACGCATGCTAGAGAATTTCCTCGCGATCAAACAAAGTCAAATAGAAGCCGACGAGATGTTAAAACAATATTGGACGATAGAAAGAGCGCAAGCTCACGCCCAATCACTCACCCCCCTAGAATTAGAAAGAGCTTTGACGCGACTTGAACTGAAACCAAATGGTACCGGGGTAGAGAAACAGACGCGATTAGCGAAAAGGTTATCGTACGAATATGTCCAGACAGACAACGACGCGGGCCGCGACCACGACGAAGACACACACATGAACTTGGTCGACGAATACCTTGACGAAATCGAAGAATTCGAATCAAATGCGGCAGGTCAAGATCGCGATAAAATAAACAAAGAAGTCGCGACGACCGGTACAAATACTGTCCCAACCACGACCCCATCCACGAGCACTGCTAACAGCGAGACCAGAACATACGAGATAACCAGCCCCGACGGTAAACGCCGCGTTGTAAATAAAGCAACTTACGATTTGCTATTTGCAGACGAGCAAGATTCTGATATTTTACAAGCACAAATAGCTAGCCTATCGCTACAGTCGCAAATACCCGCAGCGATACATCCACAACCACGCACACGCGGCCAAGGATCCGTCGCGTCAACACCTCGCTGGCCTAACACGTACACACCCGAACCTTGGAAAACTCGAGACTTATCTAAAATTATACCGAATTGGAACCTTAAGTTCAACGGTACCGAGAAGGAAGACGTCCGAGATTTCTTTCGGAAGGCCGAACAGATGCAAAAATCCGCGGGATTAACGAAAAACGACATGGTACGAGGTTTCCACATGTTGGTAGAAAACGGAGCAGCAGCCCACTACCGCCGACATGAAAGCAAATGGGCAACATACGACGAGATTCGCGCTAACATGATTAAAGAATACTCGGACGAGCTTTATACCGAAAGAAAAAACGACGAAGTACGAGCGCGCAAGCAACAACAAAACGAATCGGTACGAGAGTATATTGACGCATTAATGATTTTATTCGATGAGATGGACGAACCAGTAACAAACGAGAAGAAGAAAGAGAGAATTTACAACAACATTTTACCGGATTACATGCCCTTGTTACGAACGCAGTTTCATAGGAGCTTGCATGAGTTTATCGAGTTTGCGACGGAGTTAGGGAAAGCATTTCAATCGGGCAAGAGATCACGCGAGCAAACAGAAAAACAATCATTCATACCGAGCGAAGCTTGCGCAACAACAACAGTCGAATCGGACTTACGCGCAGAACTTGACACGTTGAAAAATCAAATCGCGGCAATAAATACAGAAAGATACGATTCGCGACGCAACCACAGTGGATACCGCAGCCACAGCGGAGACAGATGGCATAGTCGCAGTCGCGAGAGATGGGATCGAAGAAACAGAAATGAGTACCGAAATCGCGAGCGGAGTAAAAGCCCGTGGTACTATAAAAGCTCGAGCAGGGGTGATAGCAGAAGCCGAAGTAAAGACAGCAATGGTTCGAGAGGCTCCCACCGAAGTCGCGACGAAACTCGGAATCGCGACAAGTACGGTAAATATGAGAGACGAGGGTACAGCAGAACACGCAGTAATAGCAGACAACATCGTGACAGTGATAAACACGACAACAGAGACAGCGATAGACACGAGAAAAACGACAGACGGAACAACGATAGACGTGACAATCGCGACAGAAACAACAAACGCAACGCCGACAGACGCGATAGTCGCGATAAATACCGCGACGACAAAAATTCAAAACCAGACGACCGCAAAAATTCGGGAAACGGCAGATAGACGGAGCGACAACGGGCGCCGCCACGTCTTCGATAAAACACTCAGCCCGTAAACCCAAAAACACAGTGCGGTTCGCCGATCAAATAAATAACACTTCTAACGGTAAATCTAAAGTATACCCAAGGTACTGGGTAGAGGTAAAAATCGCAAACATAAAAGTTAAAGCTCTATACGATCCCGGCGCATCGAGAACAATTCTTGGTAACATCGGGCCTAAACTATGCTGCGATAATAACATAGATATAGGTGACTCAACAGTCGATTATCTCCGAATGCCAAACGGTAAACTCGAGAAAGCGTTTGGATACATAAAAACCATGATCGAATTAAATACATTAAAAATAGACGCAGAAATACTAATGGTACCAACGATACCATATGACATGATTCTCGGACTGGACTTAATACGTGAACATAAAATATCGATGAACGCAGCAGATGACACATATACTTACGAATGCGACGGTCATACACATAAAAAGAAATTCGAGCTTTGTTCAATAGAGGTAATACCGAATAACGAAGTAGCTTTCGACGCGTGCTCCATCGAAATAAAACAAGCAGAGAAACCAATAGAAAGCGGTTTAAGAAAATTAACAAGAGAACAAGCAGCTAAAATACAATCTATCCTTGACGAAATTTTACCGATTGGTATGAACCCGAATAAAAGTAAAAAGTTACCGTACACACCATTAATCGAACACGAAATAAAACTGCGACCCGGTACAAAACCGAAAAAGCAAAGATATTACCCACTATCGCCGAAGCTCGAGAAAGCTTTACACGATATAATCGACGAGCAAGCAGCGCAAGATATCATCGAGCCGGCAGAATCGGAATGGTCTAGTCCTATAGTACTAGTTAAAAAGTCAGCGAACGAGTATCGAATGTGTGTCGATTTACGTGAGGTAAATAAAAACTGCGAGCAGGACGCTTACCCTTTACCGTACATGGAAGTAA